GTAGGACTGAGCTAGACAAGGCGATGGCAGAGGACCAAGGGAGAGCACAGTCTGTCTAGAAATAGAGCTTGGTCTCTTGGAACCCAGCGCGAGGCGGAGAGAGGCGAGAGAAGGTGCTGGAAGGCAGATCACGAGTGGAGCCTGTGAGTCATGCTGAGGTGTCTGTGCTGGATCTAGGAAGGGCAGGGCTGTCGGAGGCCCTCAGGCTTGCTGTACTGCTGCTGTATGTGTGGGGGTACATGTGTGCATGGTACTGAACCATTCTCTGCCCAGCACCAGCCCCTCTAGCTCCTTCTTGGCAGGACCCACGTGGCCACTCTTTCACTCACGGGTTAGAGACCTGGGCCTTTCCCCAGTGTAGAACCAGTTGGCTTCAACTTTTTAGCCTGGTGCTGCACCAGGTTCCTATCCTAACCTGTCAGCATTTGCCACCACCCTACCTGGGAGGCCTTCTGCACAGGCTACAGAAACACCAGACATCTCAGCCAGGCATGGTGGCAGGAACCTGTAGTCCCAGGAGGCAGAGGCAGGAGAATCACTGGAGCCCAGCCCAGGAGTTTGAGGCTACACTGAGCTATGATGATGCCATTTCATTCTAGCCCAGGCAACAAGAGCAAGACTCTAAAACACCAGATGTCACCATGATACTCCTGAACCCCTGAGAGCCCTGTCTTACCCATGCTGGCCGACCCTCTGCAACGGCCTTCCCTCCAGCTGCTCACCACTCAAGGCTCAGGTCCTCTGCTAAGCATAGCACAGTGGTTGGGAGTGAGGGTTTGGGAGTCAGACTCCCTGGGGTTGAATCCTGGTTCTGGCACTTAGGATTCTTATGGCTTAAACTCTCAGCCTCAGTTTCCTGAGAAACAGGGAGAATGGCAGTATGTTCTGGCGAGGGTTGCTGGGAGAAAGAAGGGCTATAATATGTACAGGTGCTCAGATCACGCCCGGGCCCCTGTGGGTCAGCAGCCAGCTCATCAGCACGTGTTGATTCCTGTGCCCAGAGTCCCGCTCCTCTGTCTTTCCGAGCACTCAGAGTATGCTGGGCACTGTGCTCGGGGCCTTGCAGGCAGTGGGGGACAAGGTCTGGAGAGTGGACATGAGAGGACAAGCTCCTGTATCTATGCCCCACCCACCCAGTTTCCTGCACACAGCAGGTCCTCAGAATGGGGTTTAGAGAAAGAAACATTTACCGAGGGCAGTCACATCAGGGCCAGGAGCTTTCGCATTCATTCTCTCACTTCAGTCCCTCAATTGTCATGTGTGCTAAGTGTGCAAAGCCCCATCCGCATTTGCGGAGGCTGAGGCTCAGAAAGGTTAAGCAACTGGCTCAAGGTCCCACAGCTCATCAGGGACCAACCTGGGAGCCAAACCCTGGTCTGCCCAATACCAAAATGCGATTCTTAACCGTGGGCTATGAAGATCTAGAGGGCAGGGGCAGGGACCAGGAAAGAGGCCGGAAAGAAGCTGCTTTGGGAGCCATCTCCCCAAAAGCTGTGGTGTAGAAACATCTCCACGTCACCAGCCCTGCCATCAAGAGGTCCTCCTCTCTCTTGCCAGTTTTTAGTCTCCCATTGTGGAGGCAGCTGACTGGTGACCTCACTTCTGGTTACCATGGCCACAAGGTTAAAAAAAATTTTTTTTTTTGAGACTCTGTTACCCTGGGTAGAGTGCCATGGTGCTATCATAGTTCGCAGCAACCTCAGTCACTTGGGCTCAAGAGATCCTTTTGCCTTATCCTCCCAAGTAGTGGGACTATAGGTGTCTGCAACAACGTCTGGCTAGTTTTTCTATTTTCAGTAGAGACAGGGTCTGCTCTTGCTTAGGCTGGTCTCCAAAACTCATGAGCTCAAGCAATCTACCTGCCTCAGCCTCCCAGAGTGCTAGGATTACAGGCGTGAGCCACGGTGCCCAGCTCAGTTAATGGTAATTAATTCAATTTGTTCCACAGGAGACCGAAGACTTGGCTTGTATTAATGCTACGAAGTTAACATGCACTTTATGCTGAGTGGAGGCAGAATCATACCTTTTCTCAATTAGGAGTCCACTCTAGTAATAAGACCATGTCATTCCAGATAATGAACTTGGCAGATGGGTTGCTGCAGGGGTTAAGGGAAAGATGATTAGGAAAAAAGCAAAATGATGATGGCACAGGGATAGCCACTTTTCAAAGGCTTCCCCTGGAGGAGCCAGTGCCAGCCAACAGCCAGCACCAATGGCCTGACATGAGCAGGGCTAACCTGGAGAGCAGCCTGGTTAACCCCAGAACTTTGAGAAATACTCAGTTATTGCTGTTTTAAGCCACTGTGTTTGCAGAGGTTGTTTTGCAGCAATAAGTAACAGACAGAGTACTAGCGAACGTGATAGAAGCCAAGACCTTATAGGGCGTGTTTGGTTTACCTGGCTGGGGCACCCTGGTCATCTACCATAAGAAAAGTGTGTCCTGGGAAGTTGCTGCCCCTTCATCCTCCCCAGGACAAATACTCAGGGCACAGATCCAAGCCTAGCCTGAGGCCTGGAACCAAGTCCACCAACCTCACCGCTAGAAACAAGAAGCCAGCTTGGATCAACTGAACCATAGCCAACCTGCAAATCCTGAATGTGAAAATATTTCTTCTTTTAACCCTCTGAGTTTTGGGGGTGGCTTGTTACGCAGTATCACGACAGCCATAGCTGACTGCTACACCCATCCCTGCCTCCTTTGTAACCTACACATTTTTGTTTTGGAAGAGGTGGGGGTCTCACTATATCACCCAGGGGCTGGTTTCAAACTCCTGGGCTCAAGTGATCCTCCTGCCTCAGCCTTCCAAGTACCTGGGACTACAGGCGAGGGCCACTGTGCCCAACTCCAGCTTAACCCACACATTGTTATACCAAAGACCCTGTGTTCTACTATACGAGGATTGCCCCCAGTTTTTCCTGAGAGAGATTCTGATGGTGTATCTGTCACTTTCACAAAGTAGCAGTGATGCAGACAATGGCAGGGTGAGGCGGCAGCGTTGCTGCGGCTCCGTAATGCCATTTCCTGACGCGAGTGCCAAGCTAAGGGCAGGGCAACACTCTGGTGCCTGGGAGGCTCCTCCCAGGAGGCCACAGGGTCACAGGTGGGTTATTTGGGCAGGAGAGGCAGGTGGAGGTGTCTTACTGATTTGCTCTACCTCTGGTGACACCTGGGAGGGGCAGAATGTGCACAGAAAGGGAAGGTACTACATTTTCCATGGTAGAAACAGAAACTTGTCTTTAGCCAAGTTCATCCCTACTTCCTTGGCAAAACTCTGACCCCAGTCTGGATCTTCCTGGTGAACACAGCCCAGGGCTGGGTCCTAGGCCCACTGCATAGGGGTCCCAGGCTACCCAAAGCTACTGAAAATAGGACAGAGGTGGCTCCCGCTGTTTTCACAGAGTGGACGAAACCAGGGGAAGGGCTGCTGAAAGCCATGCAGGCAGGGCAGGGACCGTGCAGACAGGCAAGGACTGTGCTCCACCTCGGAGCACACACACGGCAGCTCAGTCTGCCTACCAGCAATGCCAAAGATGGCGTGTCCACCCTGCCTGGTATCTGGGAAACTTGCTCTTGTCCTCAGTCCACGGTGATGTTGGGAAACATTTTAGAAGAAGATAAGGAACAAGAATGAGACATGCCCGTGCCCCTCGGCCCCAGGGTATCTCCCAGGCCTTCCGATAATGTCATGCTGAAATTAACAGCAGTCAGTCCCTGACTCTGCTTCTGAAGGTCTGGCCAGTGGCAGCCCTTCCCAGCCCTCTTTGCCTGACAGCAGCTGGGCGGCAATTGTATCACATGCTTGGGCTGAACAAGGGGAGTGGCCAGGGTCCATCCCCAGGGGCAGCCTCAGGGTGGCAGAACCTCTGAGGAGCAGAAGCTGCAA